CAATGAAGCTGGCCCAACACTCGTGGAGAGGGTAAAATCCGCGTATTATGCGCTCGGTGTCGGTGCTCATGAGCGTTACTGCGGCAGAATCATCACCAGCACCTGATATTGAAGCCTCTGTGGTCTTCTTGTAGATGACCGCCGCCAAGCAGCCCCGAGACATGTAGAGGACTCGCTGGTGGAAGTAGTAGTAAAGAGCGGTGGAGACGGCAATGCCTGTGTAAATCAAAAAGGCGGCACCGATCAGGCCGTAGCCCATGTTTTCTGGCGTTGTTTCCGGGTCTTCTTGAAGATACCGGAGAAGAGTCTGGATGAAAAAGGGCTGGCTGTAGTTGAACCCAATGAGGGCGAGCCTCGGCACCACTGGTAATAGCAGCGGAACCGCAAGCGACTTGGCCAGGGCTCGGGCGAGCCCATGCTTTCTGCCGCGATACGTCCCCTTATCGAGTTCCCGAGCCAGGGTGACTTGCATCGTCTCCGCTATCATGCCTCGATCAAGGGCGTAGAGATCCTTGATAGTTAAAACTTTTTTGTAGCCGTGGAGGAAGAGGCGGTTAAGCCAGAAGTAGACGCTCAAGCTGAAGAGCCCGCTCGTCTCCTCGGGGCTGTGCTCTTCTGCGGTCCAGCGAATCCACCTTGCCTTTCTTTGGGCCTCGACAATGAGTATGACGATCTTGACAGCCAACGAAGCAGTGAAGAGCCTGGCGAACAGTTGCGTCGAAAGTGACGTTCTGGCCATCAACCAAGAGGTCCTAGCCTGCGCGACATCGAATAGAATCTGGAAGAACATATAGCCTGTTAAGAGCATACTTGGTCTAGGCGCTCTGGAGTGCTCGGCAAACGACAGCCCGATCATGAAGAGGGAGGCAAGGAAACTGAGGGCCGATGCCGCGGCAGCGAACGCGTCGAGCGAGCCATTGGAGGTGGTTTGAACAATAAGTAGTGCGAACTGAAGTGTGGCAAATACTGTGATGATGGCCTTGACAGACTAGATGTTAGCACTGATCAAGAAGAGTGCTCGCGATGCTGCCATGATCCACATACCAATTTGATAGTCTCGATGCTCTTAGCGCTCACTATGCGAGGCCTCCGAGAGAGATAGGCAATGCGGGGAAGTGAGACAGCAGTAAAAACGGCAGCCGGAATAATGGAGAGAAATATGCTCTCGAACCGGACAGTAAAGTCAAAGTCATCACGGCAACCGCGGACGACGGGGCCAAACGAGTCGTCGTTTAGACAAATTGAACCCATGATCCGAGTCCGTCTTGGCCGCGGGCGACGGTGCAAACAAAACTCGCTCTTCAGTGCACGATCGGTGGATCCGGTACTGAGAATCGACGTTGTGTGTATTCAGTGTGTCTCGAGCTTGGCGACAGATTTGTGTCAGTTGACTCGAAGAATAGCAACGAAGGATCGTAGGGCGAGAACCAAGAGAACGGGCAGAGCTTGTCAAACAAGCTTAATATGTTTATTCTTTGTGGGTTCTGCTGACGTGACGTGAGACTAAGAGCTGGCGCCTCACATGGATGGAGTTGAAGGCTGCAATTGATTTCCTCAACAGGAAAGGCTGTACGCAATCCGGCCAGGGTTGGGATGCCTGGTTATCGGCAAGCAGCCGTGGAGACCAACAGTGCCCTCTAGCCGTGACGAAGCATGTCTGCGAGTCGAATACGCAGGCGTAAGCCTACCTAATCTTGCTGACAAGCCACAGGAAGAATTGTTTGTCGTACCGCGCCGTTGGGACCAGAAACGCGGCGTAATGAAGCTCCGGCGGGTGTCAGACGGCAAAAATTGGTTAGCGGCCGGCGCGGCGCGTAAGGTCAAAAGCGGAAAGTGCAACATGATGCGGCAAAGGCCAATGCGTTTCCCGCCCGCTCAACGCCAACAAGAGATTCGAAGGGACGGCCATGAGAGTATGAGAAACATTGTATGACAGCGACCCAGCGACCCGGGGCGCCAAATAGACATGCTGCGAGGAATCGCAAAAACTTGTGCCCTTGTAAGTTGTTGCTTCGCGTTGAGAACTGGGGTATTCATCCAACGGCCCACCAGCGAGGAGTCCTGATACTTGTTGGACCTGAATATGGTAAGCGAGTGCGGTCACTTGCCAAGGATATCCTGGGCCGAAGGCACAGGTTTAGCGTACCAAATTTTGGTCCGCCGAGGAGTAGATGAGTGGTGTATCGAGACTATAGAGTCGTAAATAGTCAGAGGTGAGGGTGGACGCGTCGGCTTGATGCAATGGCAGCTCCGCAGATCACGACGACGATGACGAGTCAAAATGAGAGTCATGCCGGGAACTTTTGCCAGGCGCCAAGCGGAAAGGGTCTGGTTATGAAGCTGCAGGTGGGCCGTACCATTCCGATAAGCAAAAAGCCATTCATGTTGTCGCTCGTTGGCGCTTGCTGGTCATGCTGCTGGATGGAATAGGAAACCCGGGATTCGGGGGAATAACGGGTTATCCGCTCCCGATTACCTAAGGAAAGTAGCCAGCACGTGTGATCCTCTTATGTAATCAGGGTAGACAGACAGATCAATCCACTTTTAGCACCGCCACCCAGTCTCACCAGCCTCAAGCATTCCGAAGCCACCAACAGCCACTTCTCGGCACAGCGTAGAGGTGAAGTTGCCCCTCGAGTACCTACCTACCCTACCTAAGGTAAAGCAAAGGTAGGTAGGTAGGTATGCTGTCACACTTCGGCCGGCACCGGCTCGGAGTGGAGAGGAACGGCCACGGCCAAGCCTCATACGATGCATGTCGCCCCTCCCCCAAGACTGAAGCAATGCTACGCCTAGCTGAGCTGCGCTGAACTGATCCTGTTGTTTTTGACTTTCAGGGTGGGCTGATTTCAGATCCAAGGACATAAAAGGCCACAGAAGTCGAAGGGGGATCGATCCCGTCTACGGACTCGCTCAAACGCACAGCACCGGAAACCCCCAAAATACCACGGATATCCAGTCACAGACATCCACGTCAGTTGGTCGATTCATACCCAATTCGGCTGCTAGGGTTGGAATCGACTTCTTTTCAACGCTCGCTCGCTGGAGAGTCGAACAAAGAAAGCCGTCAAACACTGACTCCCTGCCGGAATCACCGAGTGACGAAAGGGAAGCATTCGACGCCCAGACCTCCAAGAGAAGACGCCCAAAGTCTCTCGGCGACTCCCGCCACTCCAGGTTACACCACGTACCAACGCCCGACATGTGTATTGTTCTCATTACCACCGCCCATCCGGATTACGCCCTCATCGTCATCGACAACCGAGACGAGTTCATCCTGCGCCCGACCTCCCGCCCGCACTGGTGGTCCCATCCTTCCGGCGCCTCGGTTCTCTCCGCCCGAGACCTCCAGAGAGCGGAGAAGGGGACGTGGCTAGGCATCACCAAGACGGGCCAGCTCGCCGTCCTCACAAACTACCGCGAAACCAACCCCGGGGATGCTGGCCATCCGGTCCACGCCGTTCGCAGCCGCGGCGGCATGGTCACGGCCTGGCTGGGCTTCGACCCCGCAGAGCCCGTCACGGAATCGGTGAACCGCCTCGTCAAGGACGGTGGCGTCAAGGGCGTCGGCGGCTTCTCCATGGTCGCCGGCAAGCTGAAGCGGAAACGCGGCAGCGACTCGAAGCCCGAACGCGCGCTTGAAGGCATCGCCATTATCTCCAACAGGTGCGATGAGCTGCAAGACGTGCCCTGGATCGCGGAGCATCGTGACGAAGTGTATGGGCTCAGCAACGACGTCTTCGAGGGTCGCGAGCCGTGGCCCAAGGTCGTGAACGGAAAGCGCCTCATGAAGGAAGCCATCCAGGATGCCGTCGTCCGGGGTCTGGACGAGGATGCCCTGGCCGAACGACTCTTCGAGGTGCTCGATACCGACACTCTGCCCAAGCACCCCGGTATGAGCCTGGCAGACTACATCAAGGAGTTGAAGCAGTCCATCTTCGTCCCTGCCCTTGGGGACGAAGGACACCGCAAGGCCATGCAGGAGGCCGTCTCGAGAGGGCCGGGCCAGTGGCCTACCGACGATCAAAAGGCGGCGGAAAGCCTGCAGTTAGGCGAGCGGCCGGATCCGACAGCGCAGGCCAATATAGGATACGAAGTAGGCTTATATGGCACGCAAAGACAGACAATCTTAACTCTCGACTGGGACGGTAACGTTACGTATCGCGAGAGGGCCCTATGGGATGGGAATGGGAACCCGATCGAGCGAGGCCAGGGCGACGAGGTGTTCAAGTTCAAGATTGAGGGTTGGGAGAGCTAAGGGCTACAAGATGCATCGCGCAGTCACGGTGAGTGTACATTGTGTATCAAGAGCAAGTAGCTACCTACCTACCTAGGTAGCCACTTGCCTATCTAGCTAGGTCGGAAGCTGACCGTGTACTCGAAGGGGGATTGGGGGGGCATCGATTCCTGCATCATGGTACGACGTAGGTAAGTACCTAGATAATGAGTCAAGCTACAAGAGGGAATATTCGCATTGTTCAAAGAAAGAGCAACCGTCCTTGATGGACCGGACGTGACATCCAGCGTCCTATCTACCTAGGTAGGTACCGCGTGGGAGGTGGTCCTATGTTATTTCCTGCATAAGCGTCGATGAAGCCATCACAATGGAGATGTTCTTTCAGGAATATGGCAACAAGTTCAACCACCGGGAAAGTCGTACCATTGTGAACTTTCTGTCCGAGATCAACATACCACTGTCTCGGCAGGGACTCGATGCATATCCCACAGCCTTGACCCAAAGGCTTTTTTCCCTCTCCAATAGGCCGTGCAACGCGTCCTCCAAACGTCCATCCAGAAAGCATCAGAGCACCTCTTTCATCTGAACCTCACCTCCGAGCTCAGACTTGTCGTAGCTGCAACTCGACGCTCCCGCTCGTTCACTCGGGGCTGCATACTCTGAAGGTCAAACGCATTTTTCTTTCTCGTCCCGAATCTATACGAGGGCACGCAATTCACCCACTTCCGTTTTCCTTTGCCCCGTCGTCCTTATCTTCCCAGCAATGTCCTCCGTCGAGCCCGGTTCTGGCTCTTCGCTTGGCTTGGTCCTCCTCGCCCACACCAACAGTTGCTTCGTCACAATTCTTTTTCATTGCGTCCAACTCTTCCACATCAACCTACATCTGATCTCGCTGTGGTTCCGGACTTTTTTCATTGCAGCTAAGCTCTTTCATCTCTCCACCGTGCAGTCGTACAACATCGTTTCGGCCTCCTCCACCAAGACCCTCGACGCGTGGCTGTCAACGCTCGACATCATTTTCTGGGCCATTTCATACACTGCTTTCCTCGTCTTCATAATACCTTGTGCCATCATCGTCGTTCTCCTGGAAAAATGCGAGACCGCCTATCTGCGTCTTCGTTCCTCCCCCTTCGAAGCCGCCGCCCGCGAGTTTCTGGGCCTGACGCCTCTCGACCGACCATCTCTGGACCGGTCGGGCCCGTCCGTCATATCGGCGCGTCGGATATTGAGCGTGCCAAAGAAATCACCATCGTTCCGAGCATCGACGAGGCCAAGCAAGCTAGCCCATCCCACCTACAGTCGACGCAACCGCGCCCAGAGCTTCATCAGGAATCTCGCAGTGTCTCTGCTGTCGTCGATCCAGGAGACGGTAACTCTGGCGCTTCCCGGGCAGGAAATGAAGACAGAACCCACGTACAGGACGACTCGGATCTCACACAATGCTCAGAAGCCGGTCCAACCCACCCTAGGCGACCAGTCGTACAGAGTGGCCCAAGCAACAAACTTCATTTCGGCCGTCAAAGACGCGCTGCTGTCAAAGATCGTCGAGCGCTGGGGGAGATTGCCCACCCCAACACCGGCCTCACACGCTTTCCATCTCCAGACGGATCCCTTCCTGGCCAGGAAGACGCGAACAGAAACCAAGAAAGCCAGACTATTCCACAATCTGTCTCTGGACTCCCGTCATCGACCCACGGAGTACGACGCCTTTCTGCTAGCTTCTCCGGAAGAGGTCCCCTCTCCAGTAACCCCACAGTCGCCAGCTCCAGTATCACCGCTATCACTGGGACGGCGGCGCTTCCACCTGGAAAGCACCAGAGAATATATACATCCAGTCACGGGGAAGACATGGGAGGCGCTACTCTACGCTCCTCCGGGAGCAGCCCAATCTTGGAAAGCTCTAATCAGGAGGCCCGGTACCTTCAGCAACAGCCCCCAACCCAACCTCGACCCCCTAGTCAAGGAGGTGCCGAAAAGAAGCGGCTCGCCAAGTCTCGCACTCTGACAGTCCTATCCAGCCTCACGGCCTCTCTTTCCAAGTCATCACTGACCAGCTTCACCGGGAGCGAGCGCAAGGTTTCTCAGCAGACGGTGCCGTCTCGCAAAACCAGTACTTCATCAACCTTTGGGTCTAATGGCCCGACCAGAACCGTGACGCCGACGCCGACGACTCTCGACGACAATCCTGTCATCATCACCACCGCCCAGCCATCGACGTACTGGGCGGGTCGTTTCCTATCCTTACAAGATCGCTTTCAAAGCGAATCCCTGCAGGAAACAACCCTGTCGACTTTGGTCACCGCTCACGCAATCAAAGCCACTCTGCTATCTCAACAGCGAGAAGCCTACAAGGGCCGCGGTAACCTGCCCTTGAGCACTACCACCGCGCTCGACCGTTATGGCACCGCTGCCATTCCAGAAGCCAACCTTCTCTCGGACGAAGACAACCGTTGCCTGCGCATATTCTTACACCTCGACGCTCTTTGTGGTACCCCGAAGCTCAAAAGAGTCTACATGCCTGGCAAGAGGCGTACGCGCGCAAGAATAAACGCGATGCTCTCTTGCCGAAAAGCACAGGCGCGGAAAGGGGATTCGTGACACGTCTCTTTAGTGGAAGCAGCAGACAGGGTACGGGTGGCTCTCGATCAGGCAAGGAGACAACAAAGGGCAAACAGCTTTTGGGGGCTTTTTGAGGGGGGTTATGATATCGGGGGGGAGGGGGGGGAGGCTCGGCCAAAAGAAGCATCATGGTTATCGGCGTTTTCATTACATGTTGGAACCGGACTGGAGGGATGCGGAATCTGCACTATTAGCTCATTGTTACCCCTCGGAAAGGCAGGGAGAGTCGTTGTTTGTACACGAAGCTGGTACAAGGGACACGCTATAGGTATCCATGCAATATGTCTAGATGCCCGTTACGAGAGATGAAAACTTGGCTGTTGGGACCCGATACCCTGTTTTTAACTTTCTACACTGGAGCGCGACCGTCTCCATGTCCATCCCCAAACGCCTGCTAATGCATTTCAGTGACCCAGTGTGGTGTGGCGCCTCGCCATTTTCTATGCTCCTCTCTGTCTCTCTCTTTCTCTGTCTCTCTCTCTCATCACAGTACGTACAGGCACCATCGCCATGGGTCTAGTCCTCCGCCTTCTTCCTGAGCTTGAGATAGTCCCTAATCTGCTCGTGCTTGCTCGCGAAGAACATGCCGAGCTTGTCATTGCGCCAGACCAGGACGCCGATCTCGGCGGCGTAGCCCGCGATATCGTCGTACTCACGAGGGCTGTCAAAGTCGCGGAACAGGAAGCCGCTCGTCGTCGTCATGCGCTCCGTCTCGAGCTGCCACAGGCGGATCTGGTCGATGACGGTGGGGGGCAGGATGGGCCGGCTGCGGGCGGCGGCCATGCGGTGCATCTGCTCGTGGGCGTGGGCGGCGAGGTACGAGATGATCTGGTCGGCCGTGATGCCGCGCTCGACGGCGTTGCGGATCGAGTTGCGCGTGAGGCGGCCCGAGACCATGTCGGCGAAGCGGAGCTTGAGCTTGCAAAAGAGGGAGAGCACGGCGATCTGCAGCGGGGTCTGGCCGTAGGCGTAGACGCGGTAGTTGGTCTCGACGATGATGCTGCCGCTGCCGCCCTTGCCGTCCTCGCCGCCGCCGCCGCCGCCGCCGCCCGGGGTGAGGCCGTTGGAGGGCCGCGCGGCGGTGGCGGCGGCGAGAGCGGCGGAGAAGCCGGCACCGGCGCTGCGAAGGGCGCTGGAACTGCTGGTGAGGGTGGTGGCGAGGCGGGTGGGGAAGTACTGCTGAGGCTTGTGGGAGGGGATGTAGATGAGGCCGAAGTCGAGGAGGCTGGGGAGCATGTTGCGGCGGGCCTCGGTGAGGGCGTTCGTATCGTAGGGACGGCCGAGCTCAAGGCTGGCGAGAAGGAAGAGGAAGCTGAGCATGTCGGTGCTCTCCATGCCGGCGGCATCCTCGGCGTGGTCGGTGGCCTCAAGCCACAGCAGCAGCAGGGTCCAGACCTGGGCGTTGGCCTCCTGCAGGAGGAAGGTGAAGCCGGCCTGGGTGATGCCGACGGCGGAGCCCTGGCGGCGGACGAGCTGGCCAGCGACGAGCAGGTTCTTAACGGACGACTTAGGCCCGCCCAGGTCGGCGCCGCCAGGGTTGACCGTGTTGACAATGTAGTGCAGGATGTCCTCCCACTTACGGCGGGCGTAGCGGTCGAGAAAGGGCACGGTGATCTCGGGCGGGACGGGGAGGGAGGAGGGCACGCCGAACGAGTTGTGGGTGCCGCCGCCCTCGAGGGCGAGACGCAGCGAGTTCTTGAAGTTGGTGGTGAGCTGCATCTCCTGGGGGCGTTCCTTGGAGGGCACGGTGATCTGGAGGATGTGGAGGCTGCGGAGGGTCGAGATGGCCTGGTCTTTCTGCCTGCAGACGGGTGTCAAGGGATTGAGTTAGTCGAGACGATGCAATTGGACTCTTTCAAGCGCGCGCACCTTCGCGATTCTGGTTTGACCCAGACATCCAGGTCCTCCAACAACATGGGCTTGGGCATATAGAGAATGGCCATGACTATGGTCTTTGCTGGTTGGGCTCCGGGATCAGTAAACCTGCGTTCCGACAAAGCACGACGAAAAACCCTCCCCCACGCACGACGAGCGCGCGCGCGTGTCAGTCGGGGAAGACGGGCTGCTGCTCACCCAACGGCGGAATCATTCTTCGGAAGATGGCAAAGGCCGTCGAGGGCTGCAGGTAGAGCTTCCTGAAGGTCGTGCCCGGCAGCTTCTCCAGGTAGTCGGCCAGCTGGAGCGATTGACCCGAGCTGACCGACATGATGGGCAGTTTTACGCGCTGAAGGGGTCTTTTTTTTCTTCTTCGGCGGGGGGTGGGTGTTTATCTCATGTTTCGGGAGCGAGAGGAGCGCAGGTTCGGGGCCGGCGGTTCGAATCCCCGGGGGAGAGGTGATCGTGGAGATCGTTTCGTGGGGGTTGAATGTGTCGAGGAAGGCCAGCAGGTCACGATTGTTTGCGACAGACGGCGATAGCGGTCATCATTCAATGATTGATGATTGCAGGGGTTGGCGGAAGTTTCCGCCTCAGGCAAGGGGGCCAGGTACGTATCTATCAACACTCAACGTGCTCTTATTCTTAGGTATATCCTTATCCTTATCGGTCAAGGTACGTACTGCCCCTTCCCCAACGAACGTCATCCTCAGTCGCAACTCCCTTCCGGTCCCAATTGCCGAAGCTCGCCCGAGCTCTCTCTCATCGCTCACCTCATTCTCATTCACAACTCACCTTCACCTCTTGTGCCTTATTCTCCCGGTCCCTTCTCAAGTCAGATAGCCTCCAAAGAACCCAAGATGCCTCCCAAGTTGCCGCCCTTGCGCTTCGTGCGTTCAGTGAGTTCCAACAGAGCTCTCGCCAGGTGAATTGGTATCGTATCTAAAACGAAACCCCCGCCAGGTTCTCAACTCGTTCGCCAAAGACTCTGGTCTGGAGCCGAGGTGAGTGAGCATGCATGCACCGGGACTCATGACATTTATTCTTGTTCTCGGTGCCTACAAAATGTTCATCTCATATCCTAAACACTGACATATGTCAGATTACTCGGTAACAATGTGAGATCACGCCTGGTTCATTACTGGGAACCCCGGCTCACTCGCTTCTAGTTCCGGGTCACCGGCGCTTCGGTGGGCAAGGTTGACTTTGAGCTGGCCATCCAGAAGGAGCACACAGTGTGTCTCGCACCTCCGTCGCTGCTAGTTGAGCTGAGCGAGCCTAGCTAACTTGATCAAGAACCGTCTCTCTACAATTCACGGCGGCACCCTTGCCAGTCTCGTTGACCTCGGTGGCTCGCTCGCCGTGGCCTCCAAGGGCCGCTTCATGACCGGCGTGTCAACTGACATTAATGGTATGCAACAGTCAACGGCAATTGGATGAGCCTCGATGCGTGCAAAACTACCGCTCGCAACGGCATGCTGACCAAGGCAGTCACATACCTAAACCCGGGAGGGAAACCGGGCGACATCATGACGGGCACTGCCATCTGTGACAAGAGTAAGCTTCGGCCCAGCCGGCGATGTGGGAGATGGTTTTCCAACTGACGTGCCCGCAGTGGGAAGAACCCTGGCGTACACGACAGTCACCTTCTTCAATAAGAAGGGAGAGCTAGCAGCGCGAGGCAGCCACACCAAGTGAGTCCCGATCGCCCGGTCGGGCCCCAGTCACCATTTTTCGCTGACTTCGTCAAGGTACATCGCAAAGACGTGGGAAACGGAGGACTTTGTCGCGCCGGACGAGTACGTTGCCGAGGAGGAGAAGTAGACTAGGACGTCGGAATGCTCCACAGTGGGACGAGTGAAACAGTTGTAGGAAAGTCAGGGCCTAGAATAGATATTTAGGGGGCACATGTCTTGATGGACGAGTATAAGTGGTATTATTACGCTATACAGTAGTTAAAACTAAGAAGGAGTTTCTCCGTGTCTAGGGTCACTGTCTCAGCCGTAGCCGTGGCCGTAGTCATAATCATGGTCGTAAACTCTGCCGCTCCGCGTCCCCCAAAGTAGAAGAAACAAACCCTCACTCTGTACATCTCTTTCGCCGTTTGTCTCCCCGGCGTCTCCTGTGCTACTAGACGAGCAGCAAGCGTCTTTTCCGACAACAAGCTTCCCTACACAACCTGCTCCGTGTTCTTGGTAGGCTGCTCCTGCTCCTGCTCCTGCTCCTGGGGCTGCCACACGGCATACTTGTCCGTGGTCACCAGCACATACTGGAGGACGAGGACAACGAACGTCGGATAGATGTAAAGCAAGACGTCGAGGATGATGAACAGGCACCTTACCCAGACGCCACTCCAAGGATAAATTGCCATGCTGTTCAAGATAATGGACAACACCAGCCACACGACGCTGAATAGCCAGAGAATGCCGCATGCGAGCAGGATGTCCGAGGCCTGGAGGTTGCCATCAGCATCTGGATCCAATAGACCTTCCTCACAGCAGAATCAATCTTTAGGAAACGGAAACTGAAGAAGAAAAAAAGCATATCCCGGAAACAAACGTACCTTTTGCAGCGGGGTACCAAGGAGTTTCTTGCGGGCCTTTACAATGTAAACCAGGACGCCGATGGCGCAGATTAGGTCTGTTGCGTAGAGGGCTACGTTGAAAGCGAAGCTGGCAAGGCTGCGGGCGGCGTAGGATGGGTCAGAGCTATCACCGCTATAACGGTCGCTCACGACCCACACAGCCCAAACGCTGATGTAGAGGCCCATGGAGGTGATGCTAGCCAGGCACACCCAGACGAGGGCGCCGAGAGCCCACTTCTGCGCGTCGCGGAGCCCCCTGGACGTCTCGTCGGACGGGGGACGGGCGACGACTCGGGCGAGGTAGAAGAGGGAGATGAAGACGGACGCCGCCCCCACGTGCGTGAAGAATATGCTGAGGCTTTGTATGGTCCATCCGACCAAGTACCTGCGGCTGTAAGCCTCATAAGGCATGAAGAAAGTGTCGGCGAACATGCCCAGAGCGACCATCGCCATAATATTGCTCCTAGAGGCCTCTCATGTCAGTACATGGCAACTACGGGGGGTTTGGCGCTTAGACTCGGGGGAGGGAAGGGGGAAACAACGAAGCACGCACAGAGTAAACAGCCGGAAGGCTAGTTTGACGTAAGTCACCCATTGGACACTGTTCTCATCGCTGCTCCGCGGTGTGTGAAAGTTGAGGATGATGGTGAGAACCAGGGCGGGGAGAGTGACCAGCCCCACCAGCACGGCGGCGACTATGTATACGATGTAGAGGGTGTCTGGATACATGTTTGAAAGCCGGCTCGTTTTTCCGTTCTTCTCCGAGGGAGCTGCCGCGGTCGTCGTGCGGGATGTGTGAGTGTTGGAGGGACTCGACTGTCATCCATCACTCATGATCCCCTCGGGATAGCGTCTCCATATATGTGTATTCGCAACCGCCTCGCAAAGTGCCTGACGATATTTCCCCAAAGACCCCGCCGCGGTAGTCCCCTTTGGGTCGCTGTGATTTCGCGGATCATATTGACCTCTTCATTCCCACGCAAAGCGGATGTGGAAAAAAAGAGGTTGCTGCCTGCTGTGCCTCATGCTGTGCCTCATTCACTCACCCCTTCACGAGTATATCCCCACTTTCGGGCGCTCAACTCCCATGGAACCAGACTCCTTCACACCTGGTTCGCTGGCAGGCCCATCTATGCTGCCGCCCAGTCCATTAGCAGGGCGCATTTCTCAACCTTCACTTAGAGGGTGGCTACCCCTGGAGGGACACGAGCGGTGTCTTCAAAGAGGAGAAAAAGCCCCAAGACATGGGCTGATTCGGTGCCTATGATTCTCCATGTCGATTGTGATAGAATATCGATGGCCCACTGGCGCGTGGACCGTTCCTTGTCTCGTGCGGACGACGGTGGACCCCGTGGCGCGCGGGATCGATTCTAAAGCTTATTTTTATTCTTACCCTCATCGGATCCCGTTTGGCCTCAACCTGACGTACGTAGCTACGTCAACCAACGGCAATTAGTGTCGTCTTTTGTCTTTATCAACGCCCCTAGGGAAGCTCTGCTGATGTGGATGAGAATCCTACGTAGGTGTCTTGGCAACTGGAGATCCGATGTGGCATGCATGAACTTGCTTACAACCACCGATAAGACAGCCAAGTTCGATAGACGACAGATTCCTTGAGAGCTTCTGGCAGTGGCAGTGCACAAAGTGGAATTTCATCACGATGTCTTCCACCATCGAAGTGGCAGTGTCTGCTGCGGCCGTGCCCGGCAGCAACTTAGCGGCTTGGCATTGGAACTATGTAAGCATCTCCTCCACTGAGGATTTCATCCTGCTGCGAGTATGCAAACCCAACCATATGGAAATTGCATTTTGATGCGAAAGGCCTTCGTTTGGCAGTTGATTAACCCAGTGCGACTTGTGGCAGTATACAGTTTACCGCGCCTGTAGTGCATGTCAAATCGCAGATGAACCCCAAAGCACGGGTCGAGTTCCATATTGACGAGGAATCGATATTCGTATCACAGAGTACCTCACCAGAAGATCATTTGGGGACATTCTTATGATGTTCGTGGTGTCTTATGTGCGTCTTTCACGGTTCCCGGTAAGAGGGTGCTGATTCCCTAGCTTCTGCAGCCACCGGCCAGTCTGCATTCATCCAGACGGAGATTGCTCAAGCTAGTAATGATTCGCCATTGAGGAACTGTTTTCTGCCACCGTGGCGGCGACCTAGGTCTAAGTTGCGGCAAATAGCCAGGGTAAAGTGGTCTGTCCCTTTCGTAGGCGAGAAAGAAAAGAAGCAATCGCGGGCCGCTTGGTTGAAAGACGATATAACCGCCACCGCGGCGCGTGTGAAGCATTCGGTTGCGTCGGAAAACTTTACCTATGGGAATATTTTACGTTTTCTTTCTTAGGCCGTTTGTCGGTACACGACATGAAGCCCAATAGAGAATGATGACTATCCAAAAGCCCCTCTCTATTGGAGGATATAGTCGCTCGAAACCCCCATAAGCGGTCTAGTACAGTTCAAACGGTACGTATGTAATATCACGGTACGTAAAACCCTCACTATATCTAGGTCTCCTCAAGGAAATCAGGTTGCATGTGTCCGAATTCATCTCGTGATTTTCCGACATCTCGTAGAACCTCTGTACCCAGTCCATCTTCAGCCCGTGCCGGGCTCTCGGGCGGATCATGGCCCGGAAAGAGTCGTGTGACACCATGGATATGCCGCCCTGTCGGTGAGCTACTTTCTCTCTTGCTCGGTTTCAGCTTAAAGCTGTATTCCTTGAAAGTAGGCAAAAGCTTCCATCTTGCAAAATGTTTCCCATTTTCCTCCAAGACGCTTCGTAGCAACACACTCAGGTCCTCTACGTGCCCCTCGCAAACATGCGGCTCCGTGACCAACATGACGTGCTGCACTCCTCGCTCGGCCTCTCTCTCACAGGTCTACCCGCCTCCACTAGTCGCCTCCCTGGGCCCTCTACATACCGGTCTCTCTCCGTCGTTTCAGAAGCCATGAGCAGCACCCCTAGAAACATATGCGACCGCGTGGCATAATCCAGGTTGTCGTTGCCGTCGCTGCTCGCACTGGCGCCCTCCGTTTCCCTCGCCGCAACGGCCACCAGGAAAGCGACCTCCTCCTCGCTCCCAAGCTCGGGTTCACACCCCCAGCGATTGCTTATTAGCCCTTGTTTCTTTTGGTTCTCCTGATTCATTATTCTGTGTTCTTATTCTTCAGGATCAGCATCTGGAGCGTACCGGTTGAACCTCAAGCTTCTCTTGCCGAATGACCACTCACGGGAGTGGAGTTGATCAACGACGTCGAGCAATCCGTTGCCATTCCACAACCCTTCGTTCAGGTAGGCGAAGGCTATTCGCAACGCCCGATCATGGCGGCCGACTGGCACCTCTCCACTTTCGACGCCGGCGCGGGGCTCTTCAGCGCTCATGACTTGCGATGCTGACGATCAACATCCGAATCCTCCGTAATCGAAATGTCCGGGCTTAGAATGCGGAAAACAGGAAAAGGTGCCGTAGGGGTAGGCAAGAGTGCTCCCATCTCAACAGCCACATTAGGCTTGAGCCTTGTCGCTTCCCCAGCCGTGACGAGGTACCCATGAAGGTATTATATAGTCTGCCTTCCTACTTTTGCCAGGGAGACACTTCCTATCTACTTTTCCCCATTCCCTCATGGACCTGAGCCGTACATTGGCAGCCCACTAAGTCCCACGCCCCAGATGGTCGACAAGTAGGAACTACGAGGTTAGTAGGACCTACGAGGTTTGAAGAGTTGGAGACTTGCAGGCGGAGGCGAGGTGGATTAGGACTAAATTATGCGCAGCCAGTGTAACGCCCAGGGCGAGGCTTCTAGGTGCTCTCATCACCACGACCAGCGTGATCACTGGCAGAGGCAGCCCGGCTATAAACTACGGCGGTGATCTCGCAATGCCATCGACGGCGTGAAACCCGATATGTCGCGGCGGCTCCGTTTGCCTCGGCTCCTCCCCCAGTTCGACATGCCTTGTCACGTCTCTTGACACGAGCACCCCTTTCCCCGAATAGTAATGGTTTCCATCCTCCTGCACCGTTGCTATCTCTCCGGAGCTGCTTTTCCAACTTTCGGGTGAGCCCTTCGGCCTGGGCCACGCCTCGATCACGACCGTGCGGTTCGCCGCCTTTGCGCGCACCGATGCCGAGTATCCGAGGGTGTTGAGGCCGATCTCGCTGCCGTCGTGCAGCAGGTGAGAAACCGACGACTGCTCGTCCGATATGAAGCGCGACGGCTTGTCGTCGCCGACGCCGCCTGGTGTCGAGCGCAAGGCCTGGCTCGCGGCGAAGGAGCCCTTGCCCGATCTGGTCAACGAGGCGTGCGTCACCCTGACGATCCTGGGGACCACCATGCCCCAGAGCTGGCGCGTGCTCGGTAGGCAGGCCACAAAGATGCCCACGCAGAGCTCGATGTGAGACCAGATGGAGGTCTGGTACGCGTTGGCTAGGAACATGGCGTCAGTCGCAAGCCTGCACGCTCGACGGGCAAGCACACACGCCCGTTTGTAAAAGCAGAAGAACGGGTCCAGGGAAGCTCTCACCTGTGGCGTTAAATGATGTCGCAAATGTTGTAAGTGCCCGTATACGATAGGCGCTGACTGCCACAAGGCTTTCTCATAGTTAGCTTCGTTTCTCTTACTCGGAGGGCAGTCCGACTCACAAGACTCCGACGCCGAGCATGAGCATCACGCCCGTCTTCTGCTTCTGGTCCATCTTCAAGTGGTAGATCTGCGACATGGGCAGCGCGAGCATCCACACGTCTAGCGCGACGTTGATGGCGCCATGGCATAAGCTAAACAAGTTCACGTCGAAGCACTTGCCCTCCGTCTCCTTCGACCACCCGATCCAGAAGTACTCGATGGGCTGGCAGGACGCGATCGTGGCGGCTAGGAAAGATATCAACAGCAAGAGGTTGAAGACCTGCGTGTACCACAGGGCCCTCCGGAACATTCCCTCAGGGAAGATGCGGAGGAAGAGGAAGAGGATGGAGGCCTTGATGGCTGCGAGACACGTTATGTAGCATATGCCGAAGATGTACACTATCTTTTTTCGTTCCGGTTTTGCAGTTAGCTTATGAAGACTTGAACTTCCAGGGAAGCGCGTTGGATGAGAGACTGCAGTCTTACCAGGAGTGTGTCTGTGATTTCTCGAGGCGTGAGCGTCCATATGTCCCTGGCGCCGCCGGATTCGGCCACTGTGAGATTGGTGTTAGTATCGTAGTAGCGGGGACCCAGCTGATAAGCAGCGCAACTCACAAAGGTAGTTTGCCGGCATGAACGCCGCGAGGACGACCTTTGTATACGGTTAGCCAATGTACGGGCAGTCCGGTAGCCGGAGAGGGCCCGGAGTGGGTAAAGCCTTACATAGGCGATCACAATGGTCGTGTCATCATGGCCCCATTGTGACAGCTTCAAATATTTGCTGGTAAGCCGCACGACGATGAAGAACGTTGGCAGCGCGAAGAGAATGCCGCGCAGATACTGAAAGACTTCGTCGTGCACTTCCACGGGCACTCCGCAGGCCGACATCGTCTCGTTCTTGGCAACTACAGGGGCATCGCCCAACCGGTTAATACCAAAATCCTCCTTCTCCTCCCCCCTTTCCTGGCCCTGATGCGAACCGGCCCCGGGAACACTCACCTAGCGCTTCCTTGACTGTACACTTGGCCGTCACGCATGTCTCGACCACGTTGTTGAAAGCTCGATCCGCGCACAAGCAAGTTTGGTTCGTGATGGCGCAGTTTGTGTGGCTGGATTCCAGGAGGATACAGTTCAACTAATGCGCGTGAGTCCGGCTGTCCACGTCGAAACCAAAATTCCTTTTCTTTGTTGGATATTTCCACTCACGGCGCAGCTCGGCAGCTCTGACGGCAACAGGTCCGTCGCCGCATGACCGATGCTTCCGAGACCGAGGAAGCAGGCGAGCAAGGCGAAGAAGAGTCGGGCCGCGGCGGCCATCCTGGGCGATTGTCTGCTAATCCTTCCTGGCCTTGCAAGTCTCTCGCGCGTTGCTCGGTTGTGGTTGTCGGGCCGTTGTCCGTTGTCCGTTGTCAGTCGATTCGCAGTTCGACCTCCTCCAGGGCTATTTGACGGGACGCAGCATTGGGGAAAGATCCGCGGCAATCTCTAGTTTACATAGTAAATGATATATATCTTCGGACATCTGTGTTCTTCCAATCCGGATCAGGGTGCAATTACTCGTGTGCGAACCACAATCAGCAAGGAAGACCCGGCCACCTGGATCGGATTACGGATAGGCCAGACAGAATGCCGCGCTCAGTACCACGATGCTGCATGCTACGCTGAGGACCAGGGTTGCTGATAATGACTCGCGGACCCGCCAGCCCTGGCTAAACACAGCTCCGCCCCTTTAAAACGGGTGGTAATTTGAAGGTAAGGATCCCATTTACTGCTGAAATACTGGTACCGGCATGGATAATCAAAGGCTCATGGGTCCAGCGAGAGAAGAAGGTTGCATCCCAAGGTCAATGGTTTGACACACTGGGTAGCAGCAAGGTCCGTTACACTGGATCACTTGCAATGGCCGGATACGAACCAGTCCTCAGCTGCATTGCTTTTCGGTGGCACCGTGAGGCTTGTCGGGTGCCGCTAACGAGGATATCTGCCTACTGCAGGAACATAGCAATAACAGCCTTGGGTGTATCGAGGTCTATGGAAAAGTGAGATGCTTCGTTCGACGGCCCCCTTTGTTTTTCCGCTACCGCGTTATCAAAGACAATACACATTTCGAAATCGGTGGATTCCCGCATCCTTATTGCCATCTTGACCACGTGCGAAAATCTCAATGTTACGTGGACGAGACAAACTGGAGCCCACTGCGACTGTAGTAGTATGTTCCAGATTATAAGCGTTACTGGTTATGCGTTAGGCCACGTGATATAGGTTACCGAATTGTTATCGGGCTTCGGTAACGATGCTTGATACTACTACGTAGCGAGAAGACAGACGGTCGATGCTCGGATGACTCGCCAGGGTTTCATTGTTGGATCCCATGTGAACGTCGACGTAACACTGAATTCTTTGAACGGCGTACACATGGGCTCGGTCTCAGCAGCAGGAAACGTGAGTTCGTCACACGGAACCCTCACCTACGTTTGCTCTTGAGTGTCGTTTAGAGACCAAGCGGGTGCCATCCTCCATTCGGCTGAAGTGGGCCATATTGTGTCTTTTGAGTCGATAACGGTTCCATCTTTCCATGATCAGAGGACGCCATCAAGGCAGCCACGTGGGGGAATGCATGCCACCGGTGCCGCAGATATTGATTCGACGGCGGTGTCGTCGTCGGCGACGTCTTGACTTGGAAAGAATCCAACTCTTTGACCCCGTCCGTGCCGCTCCAAGAGGATGAGGCGCCGGGCCCACTGTTCGTTTGCTGTTTTGCTCAACCTCTCCTCTCAAGACATGATGAGGAGGGGCAGGAGGGGTTGATGTACACTTCACATGCTTCACAGTAGTACCCGTATACTATCTCTTCTGATGTCCGTGATGTCCGTCAGTCCCTTGCAGAATCGCCTCAAACTTACCCCCACCTCTAGGACGCCATAAAAACGCCTCGCTCGCATTCACGACCCACGCGTTCGCTTTCTCCATCCCCTGTCAAAGGCTTCGCCCGGTCCCCTAACTCTGCCCCGTTGAAGACCGCAATGTCGCCCGCGGGAAGTTTCCGCGAGCAGCATCGAAGACGAGAATGATATCTTGTCCAGGCAGCGGTAGACGCCAACGGTTATGGCGCCGGTTTGCGGAGGGAGGGGCGCTGAAGACCGAGGAGTCGTTCTTGGCGGCGAGACGGTCGGACTCTAACCTGGACGGGAGAGGGCTTCACGAAGGAGTTCCGGGGATATAAACACAATTACCGCATCGGCGGGACTCCCCTTCCCTCCAGCTCGCTCTGAGCGAAAGACGGATGAGAATCTACCTAAGCTACCCACCATTTGTGCACACAAATCCAACCCTAACACACTGCTCACAGAGCGGTGCTGGGAAACTGAACCTTTACTTCGGTTCGAGTGTTGCACCAAACTCAAAGGTGAAGCCCGTGCTCATTTATTCGGGGTGGGATGGGACGAGAGGGAGGGAGGAGGTTGCTTCCGTTTCGCCGATGGGGCCATGGATGATGCCGGGACAAGAGCCAAGTGATCTCGGTCACGACAACGAGGTGCGCGTGTTTGGCCGCATCTAGCAATTGGCTTAAGACTCCGATATCCGCCGAACGGGGGTGCTCCTTGCTATGTCGATATAGCCGGAGAAGTGTTGCTGAGAAACGACGAAAGCGGAGAGAAACAAACCCCCCTGAACGGGATGGAACATGCATGATCACATTTCACCTCCATAGAACAAGTTTCGATCAGGTTATAATCGTATAGGTTCATTACTTCGTAGAATTGTGCCCTCTATAAAATAACAGTCCCGAACATTTCCTCCTAATACCAGAGACAACGTTGGACCTTATCGTGATATTTGGGTTGTCCCCCTTCCATGGCTGCAGATGAGACTGTCGAATCGCCATTTGCCGTGACTGGATTGCCTCATATCTGTCAATGCCTCTCCAGATTCCCAGTGCCGACAGTATCCTTTTTTTTCTATTGGGGAATAAGTAATAATCATTTCGCCGCGCCAAGTTCCAAATAATCCAGGCAAATGCAACCCGATCCATATCCTCCATGAATGAGGTCTGTAGATTGTCTTCTGTACATTCAGCCAGCTCATAATAGCTGCCAAGTGATGCGCTTGGGACAGACACTCCCCTTACGTGAGTGTAGCCAGCATGGCGCGCATAAGCTTGGGAGGAGGGCCTGGCGTTACCACTGTTAGTCTGCGTTGCTGCATGACGGGACGACGACGGAGCGCACCTTAGCGGTACTTTGGTACGCTGATGGACATCCTACCTTTCTTGTCCTTCTCGATCCGCACCCCGCGCCGCGGCTCTTCGATCTTTTCGACCCTCTCCTCGAACAGGACGACGGCGCCATCGGGCATCTGCTCCGCACGGACGAGCTCGCGGTTTCCGTGGCGGCGGCGTTCATGAAGCTGGGCCTCTAGTGCCTTGATTTCGGCTCTGATGTCCTTGCGCGAGCGAGAGCGGGAGCGGCTGCGTCGGCGCTCTGCAATGGCCATGGGTCCGATGGGCACCTCCTCGCTGTACTCACGGCGCTCGTAGATTGTCGGCGCCGTGGACGTCGTGTAAGACGTGCTGCTGCGGGCAGGAGAGACATCACGGATAATGGTCGTCTTGTTGACAATCTCCACTGGAGCCGGGGGCGGGGGCGGCGCTTCTTCGACAACAGTAGGGGCTGGGGCGGGGGCTGGGGCCGGGGCCGGAGCTGGTACTTCGACAACGGTTGGCGGCGCAGGAGGCGGCGCTACCGAGGGGGCTGGGGCCGGAGCAGGGGGCGGCGGGAGTGCCTCTGGTGGAGGGATAGTGTAAACCTCCTCATGGCGTTCTTCAAGATGAGCGGCTGATGAGCGAGCAGCGGCAACCTCGAGCTCACCTGATGAGAGTCAGCATGGGGCAAGAAACCGTCAAACAAAACGTATACTTACTTTGCTTGTATTCTTCGCTGAGCTTCAGCAGTTCATCTATGTTCTCCTGGCCAAGAGCCTTCAAAATGATGACAGTGTTGCCCTGGTTCATGATCAGTACAAGTCTAATGCGCATGCAGTAAAGGGGTCCGCACCTCTTCAATGTAGGGATATCCCAAGTCGATGATAGCTCTCTTGGAGACCAGGCGGGCTGGGATACGGGTCTTTCCCTTCTTGGGGTACGCGCTGCGAATGGTGGTGGTACTTTTGCTGCTGCTGCTGCTCGTTGTCCTGCTGGATGTGCTGCTCGACCTCGAGCTGCTCCGGTGAGAACTCTTCTTGGTGGACCTCGATACTCTGGACTCGCGGCTGCGGTCTCTGCGGCGGCGCGAGGTGACGACCTCACGCTCCTTGACTCGCTCAGGCATGCCGCGGAACTCCTCATCGCCGTAGTAGCCCGGCTCGGCAATCTGGATCTCGTCGTAGCGCTGGGAGGGTGCAGGGCCCAGCTGCCGAGTGCGGGGAAGAGGGATCGGAACGTATGGGGGTGCTCGGTAGTCGTCTCGAGGGTCGCGAGGGCGGACATCCTCGCGGCGAGCTGGCGGAGGGTACTCTTCACGCTCGTAGAAGCGGAGCGGGCGGCGGTCGAACGTGTCTAGGGACGACTGGCGGCGGACCATGGTTGGGCGGCGGGCCGGGTACGGATCCTGGAATTCGCGCTGAGGCACAGGCTCCTTCTCAAAGAACAAGCGACGGTCAAACTCGCGGTCCAGTGGCTCTCCTCGACGAGGGCCGTAGCCATCCTCCTCGACGTAACGGCGGTCTCTCACCAGGTCGTCATCAAAGCCGCCGCGGTGTCCGCGATCATAGGGGCCTCGGTCGAAGCGCTCGTCCGAGTGGTCTCTACCACGGCGGGGCGGGGGAGGGTAATCTCCACGCTCCTCATAGCGGCTGCGTTCGGGAGGGTAGCGAGGGGCGCGGTCGTCAGGGTAGCCGCGGTCGCGCTCCCGCTCGTACACGAAGCGGTCGCGGTCCCAGCGTTCAGCGCGGCCGGCCATTGTGGGTATATCTGAAACGTATGTGTATGTATATGGAAGTGAGATAAAGTCGATCTCGGGTATCACAAAAAGTAGGTCAAAAACGTGGTGGCCGTGTAGCGGTGTTTCGGGAGATGACAGATGGTATGGCTATTCCCGGGGCGTGTTGTGGGATAGTCGGGTGGTGGCAGGAGTTCGTGGATGTGAATGTGGGAGAAGTTGCTGGTGTTGCGAGATGCCGGATTTCAGAGCGATGACGACACCTCTATGGAGAAGAGGAGCGGAGGGAGAGAAAGGGAGAGAAGAAAGAGGGGAAAAGGCGGGAATAATGTGTGCTGCCGTAGCAGGGTAGCGGAACAGCTCCCCTCCTTAACGTATGCGTGTGTGGCTATCTATGGGTACAAAACCCAGGCCAATAGCGCCGCTAGTGTCGGTGAAGACCGTTGACCCGCCCTGGGCCCGGTGGGTTGCTTGTGAGTTTGGATTGGATAATGGAATTCGTAGCGGCGCCGCGGTGGGCGGTGCGTGGCGTGCGAGTGGCTTTTCCCAGGGTTTCTGAGACTCGGTTGTGAGACTGCAACAATGGCTGTGTATGCGTCTGGTTTATTTGCGGTGCTGTGTGTCTGGTCGTGATTGCGCTGAGGAGCAAGGGAGGGCTTGGAAGAGAGTGCGAGTGACGAGATGCCCTCCTCGCTGACTGATGAACGTGTGATTGTGATGTAAGGTCGGACTCGACTGGATGACCGACTGCACTCCTAATGAGCCGTCTTAGTGTGGTGACAGTCGTGTCTGGTTGGATAGGCGTGGGTAGCAATCGGCCTATGAGAAGACAAATGAAGCCAGGAAGTAACCCGGGAGTCTGCCAGCTGACCTCACGAAACTGGGCCTGTGACCTAATAGGACCCGAGGACGACGGTCTTGGGTCTTTTGTTGACGCTCCCTGACGCTGCCGTGCTGCTCCTGCGACTGCTATTGTTGCTCCCGAGGGATGGTGCAGTCCCGTCGCACTTGGACTGAGAGGCAAGTCTGCTTTTCAAGGGTTCTTGAGAGAAAGAAGAACAATCCGAGAGATGCGGTGGCCAGGCGAGAGGAAGAGGTTTTGTAGTTTGGGTCGTTGGCACTGGGCGGAGGGTTGGGGTGTGGATTGGGAAAATCAGGCTTTTTCCGGCAAGATGAAAGCCAGGACAGGGTCTCTTTTTTGATGGTTGAATCGGCCGAGGAAGATGGTGGTGTTGGTGATGGCGCTCGAGCGATGATCCCAGCTCGCCTGGTGCACTTCACTTGGGATGGTGCCAACGGCCGTGGTAAACTTAGTGACGAGATGGCGGCTGTTGGTTAGTTATGCCATGGACGGGTGTCCCGCCGCTCCCCCGCATGCCAAACAACACACCAATGGGAAAGTGGAAGTTGAGATGCAAAGCCTGTTTCCCGTGCTGCTGGGCGGGCAGGCTCTCTGGCTGCGGCGTGGACGCTTTGCCTTTTTTCCATTCACGGCTTCTTCTTGTGAGACAGAGTGGTGGTGATTGAGAGGCAGACAGCGAGGGCTGTTGTTGCTACAAGGCTATTCCTTGTCGACGGCACTCCCCGACGTCTGCATCGCTGATTTTTCGCGCTGATTCCACGCATGTGTCCATCCTAGACCTGGTCCAGGGCACCCTTCTAATCCAGCCCAGCCCGCTTTTGGACTTTTGAACCTGACTGTCGCCGCTTGGGCAGCCATCGTTCAGGGTACTGACTGGAAAGGCACGACCGCGGGCTCCGTTTCGGCCCATATCTCTGCCCCTAGAATACAGCTGGGCCCGCGTCGAGAGCCAACAAAGGCTACCATGGGATGAGTGCGCTATGGATCGCGGTCCCGTTATTGGGCCTGAACGGATCGACGGGGAATGGGGGTGATGGGGATGCCAGACAGCCGGATGGGTGGGTGGAAAGAGGTTAATTCATACGCCTGTGGGATGAACTCCCACGCTCGCCGCTGCTGTTCGCTGTTGAGTGTCTCGGTTTCTCGTCTGGCCTGCCCTGTATTCGCATGCCGTCCCATGTTCACACGTTCACACGTCCCGTCCCGTCCGATTCCTTGCGTTTCTCCTTCTGCTTCTCCTGAGGAGGGTTGACGATTGGAAGTTATTGTGCCTTCGTCACTCTGCGTTAGGGGGAGACGCAAGCCTGGCCTGGAGGTGCTGTATGAGCTGAGCCCGTCTGTGCACGGCGGGGGCTTACTTGACCGCCACCAGCCCTGTTCGATGACGTCGGGCATCAAATCTGGACCAGTCGATGCCCGTTGCCCAACCAGATGCCGACCCTAGGCCCCTTAGTCGACGGGCGGCAGTGAAGGGATGTGGGATGTGTAAGAGGAGCCCCTGCTTCTACCGGTACATGATATTGTACGGATACCGGTACTCAGTAGTAAGGGGACAATTGTAACTCTCCACCGCTGGATCGAGACGCGGCTTGGATGCCCGATGGCGGCCCTATTGGTCTTTGGGGCCCTTTCGAGCCGGGGGGTCCTGTCTCTGACGAGGAGGCATCTGCAATTTTGCGCTCACGTCGTTCTTTTTGCGTCGGTCGATTGGTGATTTGTCAATTGAGGTTTCGTTTCGTTTTGGTATTCTGTGTGCGTCATCTGGATTTTCGAGCCTGGTGAGAAATGGATTCGAGAGTGGCCGCTAGAAATTGGGAATGAGCCAGCCATCCGTACCTTCCCTCCCTACCTTGGTAGGGAGTGTTCCCTTAGTTCCTGCCTGCTTGCCTGCCTGCCTGCCTTAGGGAAAGAACGAGAGATGCGTTATCGGTGTGAGTGATTATCTGCTTATATAATCGAGATAAGGTCGATGGCACGTGAATACCCTCGTTCCAAGAACCCCAGGTACGTACTGAGAAACCGAATTCCACCACCGATCGCGCCTTATTGAGCCACCTACGTATCGTATCGTGCCGTGTCTACTGTACCCACGTTGCGTGGTAAAAACATGTCAAATCACGATTCTTCGCTCCGAGCTTCCTGGCCTTAACTGTACTCCCAGATCGATCGGCATCCAGACTCAACTGCCGGCTCAAGGGACGCATTGCCTGGTTGTCAGTACCATCCTTCATTTTTAACTTTGCCCGCGGTCACCGGGACATCCCTTCAGCAAGCACACTTAGGTGCCT